TAATGGGCTGGCTGAACAGCAGCAATAAGCAATTGATCACATCAAGCAAGAACAAGCCGGGAAAAAGAAATGAAAAGAGTAAAGCACTTAGAGAGAATTGGCGCAAAATGACAAATGGCAGGGGTGAAAGAGAAACAAGACACTGAATATTTCACATCCAAAATGTAAAACATGCATAAACCGCCGTGACAGATTGAGACAAATACACTGTTTATCAATCCTATTTCACCTTCAGTCCCAGAATAATAACTGAAAGGCTTTTTCTGCCACTTGTTTGTTGTTTGGTAGCATAAAAGTCATTCCTTACAGCTTGCTGTCGGAAAACATTTGCTCTAGATTCACTTCCCTCACTGAGACGGAAGCAGCTCTGGATCGGTTTCATTCATAACTGCGATATGACTCTCGTCTTTCTTTGTGTTACAGTTTTATTTGACAGTCTGGAGACATTATAGAAGCTGAAACGCTATTAGAGGACATTTTACGGCAAAGCTTTGCACTGAGCATCTGCACATTTGGTGACAGCAGCATGCTAATACGCTAAGCTAACACGGTGACGAAGCTTTAAACTGGCTAAACATGAGTTTATTAGCATTTGATGCCTTCAAATGTCGTTTTGTTTGTCGTGTCTATAAGAGAATTCACCCCTTTTGTATTATTCATAGCTTTTTAAGTGGATATTTTCTTAAACTTCATGAGTTTTGAAGTTTTCAGAAAATGTGGAGGTCATGGAAGTTCCTTTTTTCACTAAATGGTATATTGTATTATTAGTTGTGGAGAGTTTTTCTTTGGGATGTTATAATGTACAGCAGCCTCATCTTTTCATGGTGCCTTTGCATTTCCTGTATTACGTTTCCTGCTCAGTAGCTTGCTAAACAGTTAGCCTCTGTGATTGAATTTTTGGGGCCATAAAGATTTTTAGGAAGTAAAAAGTTCCAGTGTCAAAACATTGGCTGATATTCGCTATGTATGAAATAAATATATACAGACAGTATGATAGAGGCACACTGGACAGGGGAAATCATGGAGTCACTGTTTATTAACTTTCCAGCAACATATTTCACAAACTAGTTAGCAACTTACTATGAATATGCTGCTTGACTCCGCACCACTATCTGCTCAGATGTGATTCCTTCTCTGCTACATGTGCTGCAGATGGCGCAGAGTGTCGTAAACAATGGAGATGGCGCACTCTCTGCTGATGACCCCATTCATAAATTACTCCAAGGATGTTTTTTCTGCGTAATGTTCGGTGAAACATTAAGTTTTTCTGTCGGCACATATTGACTAACCTAAGACAGCTCTTACTGTGCAGGATTCAACCGTGATATTAACTCAACGTGCATCAAAACAACGAAAACTAGTCGTTACTGGACATAGTTCCAGTTCTAAAAAGGCACATTGGAAATAGAACGATGTTTATGTTTGCCTATATGATGAATATTACGTAGAAGATGGTGATGGTACAAAGCAGAGGAGTGCTACTGGATGAGGACATCGAGAGACAGTCAATTAAACTTGTTGACCTTTCTGAAGTTGACCAACATGCATTTTGTCTTCTGCAAGTTTAACTAGTCAGCATTGAGAACCAACTCTGGTACTAGATACTTTATTCTCGCCCCATAAACGCCCCTGAAAGTGGTTCTACTGATATGGTTCTTGCAGTCGGCACTAACACAATGGTTGGCTGCCCTAAAATGGCCCAAAAGTTCCTGCAAAACTGCCTATATAACTGGTTGGTCAATATTCATGTCCACTGTGTTCCAGTGTCGTAATCCCAAACTCACAAGTCCTATTTGAAGGCAGCACCATAAGCATGGTATCATATGGATGTTGACAATTCACACAAAGGCAGCTGCTTCCTTTATTGTTCTGTGGCTTTTTATGCAAAATCTAGAATATGTCCTGGTTTCTTTGCATCCCTACGGAAGGAGCGAAACTAGATTCTGAACAGCTGACCGTCTAAACACAGAGGACAGCTGTAATATGTCTCAATAAATATTGCCAAGAAAGTCTATTCCAGTTATTGATCCCACAGAAGGATAAGCTGGATGATATTGTTCCAAATCCCGCGGTGTTTCATGATCAATACTGTAATGAATGTAAACTTCCTTTAATTCTGCGCCGTTTTTCAGCGTCTTAATTCTCACTCCCCTTTGCGCCGACATTTCAAACAGCAAGAGACAAATATCGCTGCTAATTCAAGACGGCACTGAATCATCGGCTACCGTTTGGCTAAATATGGTGCGTGAAGGAAATGAATCAGAGGAGAAGAGTAATGAGTGGTCGGGCCTGTTATTATCGTCTCTGTTTGGAGTCAGGTTCATCGAGAGTATTTAAAAACCAAATGTTTTCCCAGAGAGAAGAAGTACAGGTGAATGCACCATTGATATATATGTACACACTGGTCAGACATAGATAGCTTCACATGGCCTTGGTAACTGAAAGGCCGTCTCTGCTCATCACTTTGATGGTACGAAAAAGACGCCACAGATCAGAACAGCACTACAACACTATCAGCAACATCACTCACATTTTACCAGGCTGCAGCCATGAGAGAGTTGCTTATAAAAATGGAACAATGCAAAGAAAACAGCGCCGCAGATCAAGACGAACAAGGAGACCTGATGCGTCTCCTCTGTAGTCATGACAGACCGAGAGGAGGCAGGCACACAGACAAAGAGCACGGTCAATTATTCATCTCATCTTGCTGCAATCCATTACACTGCATTTATTATACATCATATGGCCAGCAACATGCCATGCGCGTCTGAGCAGCCACTCGCTCCCCTGCTGGAGTCAGAGAGGCTCCCGCTGCAAAACATCACATCAAACCAACGCATTGGTGCTGACACGAGCGAGGCAGCGAATGCGCAGGCCAGCCCCGCTCGCATGCAAACAGCACGCAGACGCCCGAACAGACACAAATACAGAAATATCTCGTCTTTCCGTCACCCCGGAAAGTGACAAAACACGATCTATGTCTGATGCCGGTTCCATCACAGCGGTCACACAGATAAAAAACATTATGCAGCTGAAGAGACACGTGTCATGGACAAGTTTCAACATCTCAGGCAATAACCCAGCAGGACACTTTAGTCCACAGACACTCAGCTGCTGCGTGGTGTAGTTTGTGTTTGTTTTCGCCGACATTTTGCCATGCAATGATGATACCGATTGTGCTGTGGCTCGATGGATCGCAGACTGAAATATCTCAACAAATATTGGATTCACAACAAGGTGTGTACATGCATGTTAGTTGAGTCCCTAGTTTTTTTTTTTCTTCTAGCACCAGCACTTTTGTTTTGTTTTTTTTTCTTTGTGAAACTATTGAATAGGAAAAAAAGGGAGCACACAGCCAAGAAAACATTTCTGCTGCACCTGAAGTGAAAAATCTTTATTGATCAAAACGTAGCACAGCAGATATCAATAATATAATGCGGGAGCACAACAGTGTGCAGACATTGCTTTCTTTCCCTTACAGCTGGATGGATTGCTATGAAATCTGGTGTGACCACATACCTGCAGAACTAATGATAATCCTATCAGTCACAGCTGTACTTTCTGTGTGGTGGTAATTAGCAAACAGAAGCATGTCAATACAACCTTGTATCATGAACAGGCATCTGAAAAACACAAAAAAGTCACTTCACGTATTGTTAGAATGCATTTTTTGGATTTGATGCATCATTGAACGACATGACTTCTTGACCTATTCCCTCTAACCTTGACCATCTTCTGTGTCAACATGAAAGCATAAAAAAAGCTTAAAATGTGTAAACATGACACCCAAAGTGTGCATAAAGTGGCAAGCTATTGATACACAATTCTAAAATATCATTTTAGCTAATGTGGCTAAACATGTTAGCATCGCCACTGTGAGCATACTGCAATCATCGGCTGTAATTACAGATGGACGAACCCTCAATGATGCCACCCGTAGGTTTCCTGATTAGTGTTTTTTAAGCTCCTCCCAGTTACTTAAGTGGTGCCCTCCTATCACTTAAAGTAGCCACATGTTTAAATAATACATAACTTTAAGTCTTAATACCGTTTAAACTAGTGGTTTGCTTACAGTAATCACAAACAGGGAAAGTAGTTGTAGAGACCAAAACTGTTTTTTGTACAAGACTGTAACTATGTTTATTTTTGCTGTAAAGTTGGCCCTTTTAGCATGGGAGTCTATGGGGATTGACTCACCATTGGATTAAGCCTCAAGTGGCCATGTGAGGAACTGCAGTTCTTGTCACTTCTACATTACTTTAAACCAGGGGTGTCCAATCCTGGTCCTCGAGAGCCCCCTATCCAGCATGTTTTAGATGTTTCCCTCTTCCGACACACCTGATTGAAATGATCAATTCCTCATCAAGCTCTGCAGAAGCCTGATAACGATCCTGATCATGTGAATCAGGTGTGTTGGAAGAGGGAAACATCTAAAACATGCTGGATAGGGGCTCTCGAGGACCAGGATTGGGCACCCCTGCTTTAAGCCCAAGAAGTTGCTGCTTGGTTGCCATGCTGGTGTTAGCATTTAGCTCAAAGCACCACTTTGTGCAGCCACACACAGCTGCCACCGTGACTGTAGACTCTTCAAAACTGCTAAGAACGTCCATCTTTAATAGGTTTTAGCAGACTTTCCCCTTTAGTTTGCTGATGCTGTACACCAGGGGGAGAGGGCAGGTCAAAGACACTAATACGGGACATGGCAACAAGATGACATGGTGAGAAACATTAAGGACAGCAGATAAGCTTCTAATCAAAAGCCTCTTTCAAGCCGGCGTTGGCTTTTAAATGCATCTTTTTTAACTTGATTGCAGCATTCAAGTGGGTTTTTAAGGACATGGTGAATAGACGAGATTGAGCATGAATGTAGAAATGGTTGAATGGAGCCGCGAAAGTCATTGATTTACACAGAACAGATAAGCTAAGGAGAATGAGACTATTTCTTTTACTGCTGATTGTGTAAGGCTCGTAATGAAGACATCACTGTAGAGCAGACTTACTTCCATACTGGTGAGATTACAGCGATGGGTTCCAGCGAACCAGCCACTGTTGGAGCACTGGTCAATGTCCACGTCCTGCAGGTTCACATCCACACGAACAACACCTCTGTCAGACAGGGAGAAGGGGGAAAAAAGAGGAGAGAATATGATAAGTTAGTGTCAAGGAAAAGCGCAATAGAAGAGGAAGGAAAGTAAAAGGACAGAAAACTGGAAAAGAAGGGAAGAGGTGAGGAGGTTGAGGAGGCTGGAGGAGGATGCTGAGGCAGAGAAGGCCAGAATAAGTGAGAGGAAAATTAAAAAGAAGAAGAAATAGAAATGCTCAGGGGGAGGGAGGTCAAAGGTGCAAGAAGCAGGAGCGGGGAGGGCGATAATAGAGAGGAATGATCGAAAACAGAGGAGAACTGAAGAGGCACGGGGGTGAGTAATAAAGAAGATGGAGGGAGAGAAATGAAGGTGAAGAGAGACAGAAGGATGGATGGATTTTTATTTCATTATGCTGATTCTTGCCATACATGAGATCACTGAAATGCTTTCAGTACAAAGATTGTGCTGTTTTGTTTCCTCCCGTGAAGTTTGTTTTTACCTTTTAAATCCTCTCTGAGACGTGTTTTCTCTATTCATGCTGTATGTTGAACGGTAGCTCTAATTTTACGCCACATTATTGCTGATGCCTCTGAAAGCTGTTCTGGATGTTTGCCGACGTTCGGCTGGAATCTTTTTGTCAGGTCCGTTTTGCTTTGACTGAACAGCCTCATCATTTGCCTCACCAGTTCTGCTCGCTGCATACACTGCGCGGTGTTGTTTCATTTTCTGGTTCCTAAGCTTCAGACGTATCAAAAACAAGCAACTTTTGTTCCACTCAATCCTGTCTGTCTCTTTCCTTCTCAATAAATCCCCTACAAAGACCAAAACAAACAATGCGCTGGCTCGCAGCCCACTGGTTCCTACTGAGCGCATAAATCTCTAAAGCTGAGTCACAAACATGACAATGAGTGAATGTTAACATGCTGATGTTTAGCGGGGTAACTGTTTATTTAGTTTACCACGTTGGCATGCTAACATCTGCTAATTAAACAGACAGCGGAGCAGGCAGCCGGTAGCTAAGGCTGATGGAAATATCACTGGTTTTTCAGTGCAGCTATTGAATGACCTGATAATAAAAAAATCAAACATCACCAGAGGCTGCAGCTCCTTAAAAGAGCTGCACTTTTTAGCATCATGAAAATAAATAGTGCGTTTGTTGGACTATTTTCGGCTGTGGATTTTACACATTTTGTGCTGCTCTGAGCTGAGCGTGGTCTATTTGGGATCAAAATAAACTACCATGCCCATGTTTGTCGTACTGAGAGAATGTGTGGGCCACAAAATTAATGTGCTTCGTTTATGTGTCGGACAACAGTAAAAAAAAAAAAAACACAATATTTTGGCTTTTTTTCTTCTCGCGAATTGTTAAACCACAGTTGAATGAAGTCATCATTTGTAGTTGCTAATGTAAAAAGATACGTTTTGTTAATTTCACGTTAATTCATTGTAAAATGTCTTTTTTTTTTTTTTATTTTCTGGCATTTTAAGAGTTTAATAACATCCATCCATCATCTATACACCGCTTAATCCTCACTAGGGTCATGGGGGGCTGGAGTCTATTCCAGCTGACTCAGGGTGAAGGCAGGTTCACCTGGACAGGTCACCAGTCTATCACAGGGCTACACTTAGAGACAGACAACCAAGCACACTCACATTCATACCTACATACAATTTAGAATCACCAATTAACCTCAGCATGTTTCTGGACTGTGGGAGGAAGCTGGAGAACCCGGAAAGAACCCACGTTGCACGGAACATGCAAACTTCACGCAGAAAGATCCCGGGTGTCCTCACCGGATTTCGAACCGGCGACCTTCTTGCTGCAAGGCAACAGTGCTAAAAACTTCTTCAAACTTCTTAACTGGAAATACGGATTTGAGTGAATTAACTCTACCAAACTCAATAAATGAAGTTTTTAAGAAACGAAACTAGCATCGTAGCAGACTTCCCAGGATGCACTGTGAGAGAATTCAAACTCCCAGGAGACTGTAATTGTTTGTAGCATGAGAAAAAACAATAAGGATGTGAACGTTCAGGGTGACTCTAAAGCATGTTAAATGAAGTTATGGTTGTTTCCTTCTATAATAATGACATTCAGTTTAATTCAAACCACTTTAGCTGGAACCAAAACAAAGGCTAGAAATGAATTCAGTCTCTACACTGATGTAAAATGTTTTTAAAAAGCTGTAATTATACATTTTTCATGTTATTGGAAGAACAAACTTTCTAAACTGAAAAACTGTAGCATGTGAAGTCTGTAACTCTAGGTCATGTGACTAGAAAGTTGAATCAACTTAACATCTGAAGTTAATTGATGTGTGCTTTTAAATTGGTTAATTTGATTATTTCCAATCTCAAAAAATAATCTGAACAAATTTATCAACATAAGAGATTTAACTGGTGGTTTTAAGGCTGCAGATGAGGCTTAGTTGAGCAAATTAAAAATCAATTACAGCGTGGGATTCGTTGATAACAAGGAAAATATCATAAATCACAAGACTCATCCATGAAGGATCGATTTTATTTGTGCATGTTTCCAAAGTGTTCATGTCCTTTGCTGGTGCAGGTAGTTCTGGTAGCTTTTCCTAATCGTTTTCTTGGTGTTCCTCAAACATCCATATAATCTTTTAAAGACCTTATTTACATACGTGGTGTGTTTTCTGCACTTGCATCCTGTTCTGCATCATTTTCGATACCAGAGGTTTTCACACTAAAGCTGTGAAAAATTCTTGTTTCCTTGCTGCTCGGAGACCCAAACAACAAGCTCAATATATGGAGAGTTGTGGCCGAGGCGGCAGCGAGCCGTCACAGATCCCCACTGTGAAGAGAAGGAGGTTAAATACTGCTGAGGGATGTGACTGCAATACAGCATTAGAGGAACTCTGCCTGGGACTTAAAACTGGTGGAGCCAAGTTCACTTCAGCTGCTGCCATAAAACCTGCTGTTTGTAGAGCCGAGCGCAGTTTACGTCTGCCTGCAACACTCTCTCCTTTCATCATGCAGACACTCATGTAAAGGACTTTTCTTCTTCTTTAATTACCCTCTCCTGTGCATTTCTTCACAGAAAAAAAAAAGCGGCTGCACACTCACATACATTCTGTCTGTGCTTTGTTGTTATGTGAAGCCTGACACCTGTTACCTCCATCTGCCTGCTGGGAAGTGGAACAAACAAGCATGGAGAGAGGCTTTGGCCACCACCTCTCCTCAAGCTCAGCTGCAGACAGAAAGAGAGGGAGGGAGGCAAACATGTTGATACCCTCAAGTGGCGAAAAGCATTCGTGTGTGTGTGTGTGTGTGTGTGCTCTGGTCTGCATTTACAGGTCAAGGCTTGGTGGATGCTGAAAGCATGCCAAAATAGCTGAGAGGTGTGATAGATAGATAGTGGATCTGAGAATCACCTGTGGACACATGTGAGGCAAGATAAGGCCCCATTGTAAGCATCATAAAGCAAACATATACAGCCAGGACAGATAGTACCGTACACACTGATCTGAGCTTGATGTGGAATTTTACGTGAATTTAACGCCAAAGCAACTCAACTCACTAAGACTTCTGTTAAGAAACAACAAATGATAGTGGACAGAAATTCAGATTTTATGATTTTTTTTCTAAAAATGTAACGCTCATTCGCTCACTCACACAATGTGCATCTTTGTGGATGATCTATTTTAGCTTTCCTCGTCTCGTTAGCATGTATGGAAGACCATTTCTGCCAAGAATCCACAGCCGCACTAGCAGCTCTGTGAGGCTCAATGCAGAGTAAATGTTAATGTCAGCATGCTAACCTGCTAAGAATGACATGCTAACATTATGTTTATCATGTTTATAGTTGAGTGGATTAGCATGCTAATATTAGCAACAGGGCTGGACCCGAATATCCGAATATTCGGTCGTTGTGGTGGTATCCAGAAAGCAATTTTGAAATTTGAATATTCGCCCGCTATACACATTAAATATGCCTGAATATCCGAATATCAGAAATTGCTATTAAGACCAGCCCTAATTAGCAATAAACTCCAAGTACAGCTGAGGTTGATGAGAAAATCATTAAACTTTTAAGTATGTCAGTGGTCAAGTCAAGTTATTTATATATATCACATTTAACTCAACAGATGTTCACTCAAAGGACTTCTAGAAAAAGAAAAAATATTAATGCTAAAAATGCACCTAGCACCTTTCAATATTAGGATTAAGACCCAACAATATGATTTAAAATCCAATTTTACTCGTAAAGATTACTGATTACTCATGATGTTTGTGCTGGGTGCAAGGCAAGGGATCTATCCAACAGTTGTTGAGACACTTCACCAAGAACTAAAAATGTCAGCCTCAAGGTGGCGCTAGAGGAAAGGTCAGAGGAATCACCAGAACCAGAATCGGTATACAAAATTTCATATTTTATAATCGATCCAGTGGTTCTTGAGATATTTCAATCTGGATCAAAATGGTGCAGACTAAGGGTGGTCGAAACATACATATTCAGCAAAAATGTAGTCGGTCATATGCAGAAAGTACAAAAAGCTGAATCTGCAGTCTGACAAAAATACCAGGATGTTGTACTGTTCAGGGAAAACGGCTATAACCAGTCTACCTCGCCTTCTGTAACCCACAATGCAACACACTGGAACATTCACAACACCGACTTGTGGGGCCTCATAACAGCTTTGCCTACATTAACTCTTCAATGAACTTTTACAACCAGAGGAGCTGACTTGAGTTGTAAACGGAGTTAAAATAAGCTTTTTTTTTGTTATATTTAGTTTAATTATATTTGACTTTTAAGGCTAAACTTATAATTAGGACTTACGCTGCTGTATGAGTGAAAAATTTGAATCTTTAGTTGAACTCATACAGCTTTTGAATGAAGGGAAATGCCGACATTATGACCAAACCAGAGTGTGCAGTAAAATATAATAAGTCAGTCAGCAAGTAGGATGAAAAATCATCCAGTTTGAAGCTAAAACACTGTAACACTAAACAGAAATACCAAGAGAACTCGCTTAAACTCAGACTACATTTGCA